AAAAGTCTGAGCCTCAGGAGGACATGATATCGGTATTTTCAGAATGCTGGGTTTGCATAGGAAGACAATACCTTTGGCAAACAATGGACATGCACTGGAAAAATTAAATTCCTGCAGCATGTTCCTCGAATGCCGTATCCGATATTGATCGGCTTCGCTGTCACCGATTCCTAGACTGTTTTAAAGTCCGATAATCGTGGGCTCACCACATTTCTTCCACTGTTGTAATGGACACCGATATTTGTCCGCACTGTTTTTCACCTGTTATCACAATATTATCCTGTCAGCATGCCACCCATTCCTTGACGATCAGGCAGCTGGATAATACATGTGACAGATTACATTGGTCGTAGCGCCAATCTATTCTGAGCTGTTTACAAGATCAATATTTTCACCTTCGGGTCGAATATGAGCCGTCCATCAAAAGATGATTCTAAAACGATCCACGCACGCCCACCATCGATGTAAAACGAGCTCTAAAATTCATGTTCCGCGAGCGGTATAAACCCACCTAAGTTTACCCCACCCGCCATTAGGCGGTGTTTAGCCACCCTAAAACCGCGGCGGCCGATGGGCCTCCCACGGGCTATGGGATGATGGATTCCGGCCTGAATTCCGACCTGTGTGCTGTGACTCTGCCCCGGGGCAGACAGCCGCGGAGAGGAGTGCGGTTTCCGGGGTCGGCGGGCGGCGACGCGCGTCTGACGTCTGGGGACACCGGATACGGCGTCCCTTTCAACATTTATGACACATTTTAGCATAACTGCATAGACGTTGGATGTTGGGACAGTTCAAAGGGCCTTTTCACAAAGTTGAATCCACGGAAACTACTAACGTCTAAAGTTTGTCTTATTTCGCTGGCGCGATGTTATTTTTTAATACATGACCGTTCATCTATATTTCTTATATTTTTAAGTTTTAACCATGCATTGCTAGAAATGGACGTTCGGCTCATGCGCGAATACGCTACACCGGTATGTTATTGCTCATACACGGACTGAAACGGTATACATTTACACCCGATCGAATCTCCGGCGGAGATTCTGCGCCACAAACACACGCGATTCCAGTAGCGCGACCCGGCAGCCGCCGGCGGCAGTGCCTGCAGGGCGGCGCCGGGGGCGGTGCACGGGAGCCATGTGCCGCTCGTCACCTCCCTCCCCGCCCCGACTCCCCACCCCAGCTCTGGCGGCGGCCGCGATTTGCGCGGAATGCGGCGAACACGCCACCAGAATGCGTCAGGAATGTCTCCGGGGAGTGACTGAGGCGGCGCACCCGTCCCTAGGCTGTGACGACGTCAGTTCGAACATGTGTCGTCAGCAGGGGCGTGTGGGTGGTGAGGATGTTCCTGTCTTGTTCGTGGCTCAGAGATCTGGCTGTTTTGGTCGTCTCTGAACCGCAGACGGTCTGCTAGCAGGTGTTTCATTATCCGGGCCGCGTGTTTTGATGTTCTAGTTATGAAACGCGTCGCCCAGACAGGAGCCATTTAATACTCGTCCGAGTGACGGCCAACACAAGGTGCCGAGTCTGCCGGCTGAGGAATTAATTCGACATGATGGAGTGAGCTGGTAGTGACGCTATCAGAAGCATTATTGATGAACGTCGTGCTGATCTATTCACCAGACGACATGAGCTCATGATCCCGCCGCGGCTCCGATCTCAATTTAACACGGTGATCCATCATAATTTCTACACATTGGCTGTCTGGCACGCCGCGGACCACCTCGGCGCTCCTTTCATCAGTTTCTGTCCGACTACTTGGCGTGTGAGATGTGGATCAAAGACATCACTATCATCGTGATAATCGGGTCTCCGGTGGGTGTCTGTGTTAGTCCGTTCGTGTTTGGCTGTTCTCTTACTCAGGGAGCGATTTGGTGATTCAGTTCGGACCCAACGCTAGCTCGTCGTGTTTATATTTTTAGCGGGGTCCATGGAGTGTTGCACTTATCAAGCTGGTGATAGGCTGTGTCGCGATTCATGTTGTTGCTTCATAGCTAGACACGGCATGACTGTTACGATGTTCTGCCCTTCCGTGACCGGCAGTTTGTCAGACGGCAGAGCCAGTTGTGCTCTCATGTCGTGTGAGTTGTGACCGCCGGCCCCACCCCCGCCACAGACAGCCGGGCGCCTCCGGCCACCCGCCCGCGGTCGTCCGTCCCTATGACCTCCAGCTCAGGGTCAGGGTCAGCTGTAGCTGCCAGATCAGACCCTCTGAGGCCAGCGACGAACCTATCGGCACCGATCGCCACTCGGCTAGCTCGACATATATGGCGCATCAGCAGTCGGCCGCGGCGCAGAGGGCTCGATCCAGTGCAGGGCTAGACACCCACGTGGTCTGGACCGCTCACTGGAGGTCACCGGGCTGAGCAGTGACGAGTGACGCCGACCCGGGTCAGCTCAGGTCACTGGGGCACCATAGAGCGTCGAACCCGCAAACGGCCGCGGTGTCACGTCATGAGCAGACCTCGCACACACTGCCTGTCAGCCCCGGAAGCTGCTGAGCCATACAGACGTCAGCAGACTCCCCAGCAATCGAACTCTCATTGGTGGCAATTTCGGTTGAGTCTGACTCATCCCGGGACTTGTCGCCATTCCAGGTGTGCCCGTTATACGCCGGTGCCGGTCACTTCCCAATACAGCTCACTCGAGCAGCTCCCCTGGACGGCTGAGTCGCGCGCCACCCAGGTCTGGAACGCGCCGCTTCCGCCGCGCGGGCGCCAGCCATCGGACCATCTCCAATCTCCGTTCCTCGGCGACCGTCGCCGCCAAATAGGACCACCCGGCTCCTCCTCTCCCTGTCCGGCCACGCTCCGCTAACGACAACGGCGGCGGCGGCGACTTCTAAACAATCCGATTTACATACCGACCGGGCGGCGAGTTTTACCGTAATGGATCACCGAATGATGGCGTCCCAGAAGTGTCCGTTCCCGGCCTCACTGCCACTAGTGAGCGCTGAGGGTCTCCCGGCGGCGACGGCGCGGCGGGAGGCAGCGCGTGCCCGCCGCCTCCGGAGGGCCGCTCGTTTTGTCTGCGTCGTTTTTGTCTCTCCGTGCTGTCTCGACTTGGTTCTGACGTCGTCCCGCCTGTCGGGTAGTGTGTCGGAAAGTTGTGGCACGGCGAGCGGTGCGATGAGACAGCCGGAATGCAAACAATAGCCGAGCGCGCACGGCAGCGGTCTCTTTAGATCGGGTCTGACAGCTCGGTCTCTCTCTCTCTCTCTCTCTCTCTCTCTCTCTCTCTCTCTCTCTCTCTCTCTCTCTCTCTCTCTCTCTCTCTCTCTCTCTCTCTCTCTCTCTCTCTCTCTCTCTCGCTCTTTCTCTCGCGGCCACCGGTGTAGTTTCGCTGATCGATGCTGGTTTAATCCACAAACACGATGAGTTCACGATGACGCGCCGGCGGCGGCCGTGTTGTCTGACAAATCAGGACGGCTCGGCGGCGCCTCTGTAGCGGTGTTCGTGTCACCGTCGTCACCGGGTGGTCCTGTCCCTCTCGCCCAGGGAGAGGGAGGAGCCTGGAGAGAGGGCGGGAGGCCGACACCACGCCCTCAGTCTCTGTATGTTTGCTCTGTGTGTTGGGCAGAACACGGCGACTCAGTGAGACGGACACGGGACATGGTTACCGGTGTTTGTCCATGACGAGGACGTGTTTGATGGGGAACAGAGGCAGCTCGGAAAAAAACGCCAGAGGGGCGTGTGGCGCCCCGTACTCCTTTTGACTCACCTGTGACTCAACTTCTACCGATAGCGCTGACCGTATCCAGATTCAGAGCAATGGGGCCCCGAGAATCTTCAGAACGGCGCAGTGGTATGTGACTACTTGTCGAGAAATCACGTCACGGATGAATCACCGATTGGGTTCATAGAACCGTGGCGGATTTGGTGACGTTTGCCGACATGTTTGGCGAGACACGGGCGACAAATATACACATTGGGAGGCCCGCCACCCCCCTAACGGCTGTGCGACGCTGCCATTTCTGGCATTACAGCCGTCTGTCCGAGGCCCATAGTTGGGCCTGATCCATCATCCCTCTCCCGTGCCTGTCGGGTCGCTCTGAGAATCCCCCACGCCAGCCGACACGCAGTTCCCAGCATCACTCGACAGGGGATTCGGTCAGATCCTCGCTGTACCTTCAGTTCCGAAGAGGGCTCAGTCACTTCTCCATAGTATCGGTAGTGACAGATATGTAGTTTCCCGTCACATATCGCCCTGCATTTATGTATCAGTCATTGCAGTATCAGAGATGACCCGAGTCAGTTTCTCGTAGCGTGTCGTTCGAGAGGCCACACAGAAGCCGGCACTGGGCCTCAGTCGTCGCTCGGGCTCCGATTACCAGTGATGCAGTCAGAAGTCCGGTCCGACACGTAAACATTGGATATCCGCGAGCGGTGCCGTACCGTCCATCTACCACCGCCCACCGCGACCCTCCCAATCCGGGGGAGATGGTCCGGCGGCACGGGCCGGGGTGCGTCAGAGGTGTGGGAGCCAGCAGAGGAGGCAGGGTACCTCTCCCTCATGGATAGAGAGCTGCTCGTGTGTTGATCGTTCGGTGAACTCACGGGGCTCGGCTCCTTCACACAGGTTATGGTTCGTTATGAAGGGCAAGTTGGGCTGAATTTATGCTCAACACCCACGTTTTAATGAATTAACCGAAAGTTTAAGCGATTCCAAGATTCAATTTGCTTTGTATGACTTTTAGTGGATCGTGCACATGGTTGGGGGAGCTCAATGACCCTTACTTACCTTTGTCCGGGTGGTGGTAGGTATTTTAGGGACCCACCCTTCTAGGCCCTCCCAGAGTTCTCTTCAAATGCATCTCATAACCTCCGCTTGTACGCTTGTATCCCTAATTACCAAGTAACCACAGCTGATGTTTTATTCATCCACGTTTGTAATTGACAAATCAAGCCTGACGTGCTCTCACGCGTGGCTGTGCGCCCCGCCCCGCCGCGCCTGCCATCTGTCGGCGGCTGTGTAACCCAAAGTGTGTGTATTGTCCGCAGCACGTCGGCTGTGACGGTGTGGTCGGCTCGGGCCGGGTACGGGACGCCTGCGGCGAGTGCGGTGGTAACAACAGCACGTGCCAGATCATCTCTGGTCTGTTCACCGAGCCGTACATGAAGGTCGGCTACCGGCAGGTGGTGCAGATTCCGGCCGGCGCCTGCTCCGTGCGCATCGAGGAGATGGGCGCCACCAAAAACTACCTCGGTACGTCAGCAGCGGAGGGGGGGGGGGGCACGGGAGGGAAGGAGTCATACAGCACAGGGGATGTGGTGCCACCAAAAACTACCTCAGTGCAATACGTCAGACAGAGTAACGAAAGCGAGGGAGCATAGAGCAGAGCGTGGCGCCACTCAGAAAGTACCCCGGTACGTCAGACAGGAGTGTCTGGAGTTCTCGATCGGTTGCCAGGTCGACTCATCTCACATGGCCCACCCGTCAGTCACCCAGACACTTACACTCAAACATCCGCTGCCACTCTCTGCCGTTTGTTATATTAGCACCTCACCGGCCCTGTACCCCTGAGACACTGGATGTGTTCTCTGGTGAGGAGCCCTGGTGAGGAGCGCTCCCTGGAGGGAACGGACGGACAAACACCAACAAACGGGCTCACCTGGCTACCGTCTATCCGGTGATGATGTCAGGGGGGTCAGAGAGAGGGGGCTGGGGGTCAGAGGTCAGTGAGGTCGTCTGGAGGGCAGACAGGTCCGGTCTGAGACAGTGACGTCGTCCAGCCCATATAGCCAGGATTGCTTTAAGTGCTGATTAGTGCTTGTTGTTGGATCACAGTGAACTGGTAAAATGGTCTGGGATAGGTCTGAACTTGTGAAGTGTTTATGAAGGGCTGTTGACGGGCGAGATCTTCTGAACGGCTGCCAGCTCTGTGGGTCACCGCCGGTTTTTGGGGACGGCTAGAGGGCTGAGAGGGGCACACTTTCACCTCCGTCTGGGAACGATGTCCGATGTCTGGTGTCTAATGGTGTCCGTATCTCGACAAAGCGTCATGTCTGATGTTTGTACTTAACTGACGCATGCTTCTAACACCGTTCCGTCTCAGCGCTGGGCGACACGCGGGGCAAGTTCATCATTAACGGGAACTGGAACATCGACCTGTCGGGCAACTACGCCGGCGCCGGAACCACCTTCAAATACCAGCGGCAGCACCACAAGCGCAAGGTCGGCGAGATCATATCGGCCAAAGGACCCACCACAGAGCCCGTCGATATATTCGTAAGTGGTTGGTCGCATAAGAGTGGAATTTCACTAATGTGTTTTAACGTTGCTTTATTTACTGGCATTTGTCGTTGCTTTGTTTTAACCTTGAGTTGTACGTGCACAAGTCTATTGGTTGTGCTCGTATTCTCTCGTTTGACGTAAGCAGTCGCTTCTGCTATTTGACCATCAACTGGTCCTGTGATCTGACCGCTGATCTGACCTGCTCCCTGACCTGACCTGACCTCCCCCCGCAGCTATTATACCGCCAGGTGAACCGCGGTATCAAGTACGAGTACGCCATCAAGCGCAACTCGTCCCTGACGTCGGTGCTGCCGCGGCTGCTGACGGGCCCGGACGCCGGCAAGGTGGCCGCCATGCCGGACAGCCTGGTGCCCCTGCGCCGGCCGGCCGACCCGCCGCCGGCGCACGACGCGCCCGCGCTGCCCTCTCGCGGTCAGTCGCAGGAACTAATCGCGGACGAGGGGTCATGGAGTTTGTCTTCGGACGATAATGTATAATGTATAATGTATATTGTATTAGCGAAGCATTCCAATGATGGATTAGTGTCAGCTTCTAGTCAATGACAATAGTAAAAACATAGGTTGGGTCGTGATGGAGGTAGTGTTTTATTTACCGGCATTGGTGATATATTGTCTGTCTTGCTTTCATTTGTATCCGTATACGGGCTCAAGCCGAATGAAGTTTGATATGCTAGCGTCGCCATCTGAAAGTCGCAGCAAACGTCGCAGCCTGGCTGCCTTAATCTCGTCTGTCGTCGGCCGCCCCCTCTCCACCCTCTCTAACGCCTGCCCCCCCCCCCCCCCAGGCGGTTTCGTCTCGCCGCTGTACCAGTCCCCCGCTGCGGGCGGCACAGCGCCGTTCCGGCGGCCCGACTCGGCCGCACCGTTCCAGCGGCCGGGCGCCTCCGTTACTCCCGGCGGACACAAGAGGCGCCGACGGCGGCGGCGGCGACGCTCCCGCTTCCAGTGGGTCGTCACCGGCTTCAGCGAGTGTACCAAGACCTGCGGAGGAGGTGAGAGGGCGGGAGGGGAGGGGAGTAATCTGGTTACAGCCGGAGAAGGGAAGTATTGGTGCTTGTTGGTTCTGACACGCCTGCTGGCTGCTGCCTTCTGACCGCTATCCCGATATCTCAGGTACAAAGACGACGGAAGTGGTGTGTATGAAGAGGAAGCGGAAGCAGCTGGCGCCGGACCGCGACTGTAAGGAGCTCAGTAGGCCGGAGCCGACCACCCTCAGCTGCAACCCGCAGCCCTGCCCGGCCATGTAAGATAATCACACAACCCTGTTCAGTTAGGTACTAGTTATAACCCGCAGCTCTGCCCGGCCATGTAAGACCATCGTGCAGTCGTGTTCAGTCAGCCAAGATTTCACAATGCCGCAGTGACATTCCGTCCTGACACGTTATGTCCAGCGATCGTTTGGTGTCTCGTGAGTTTTCGTTAACAGAAAATGATGTTCGACAACGTATAAAACCATTCGAGCTTCTCTTGCCGCTGATCTACCCCACCACTCCTCACGTGTGTACCTACCGTTCGTGTTTGTGCAGGTGACAGCCTCCGTCTCGCTGCTGTACCTCCCCAGTCCTGACGTATATCCCGTTGTATCTCCCACAGGTGGCAGCCGGGCGCCTGGTCTGCGTGCAGCGTCTCGTGCGGCTCGGGCCAGCAGAGCCGCCCCATGGTGTGTGTGAGGGACGGCCGGATGGAGCCGCCGGAGCGGTGTCCGGGCGGCCAGCCGGCCGACCAGAGCCGGCCCTGTCAGCAGCCGGCCTGCGGCGCCGGCGGCCTCTGGCGCATCGGACGATGGTCGCCGGTCAGTAGAGGGGATGGGGGCTGCGTGGGAGGGTTGCGTGGGTAGTAGTGGCTGGCGTGATATCAGTGGATGTCTGGATAAAAGGCTTCGATGTTAGAAATCATGTGTTCCGCGCAAGCAACGTTAATCGCTTACAGTACATACACCTGGACCCGTTCATGTGACCTCCCAGTGACCTGACCTGTGACCTGATGTGCCCCGACCAGTGCTGGAAGACCTGCGGCTGGGGCCAGAGAAATCGCGAGGTGACCTATCCTGACCTAACCTGACCTCTGACCTGTCCCGCAGTGTTCGGTGACCTGCGGCTGGGGTCAGCGGACCCGCGAGGTCACCTGACCCGACCCCTGACCTGACCTGACCTCTGACCTGTCCCGCAGTGTTCGGTGACCTCCGGCTGGGGTCAGCGGACCCGCGAGGTGACCTGTGACCTGACCTCTGGCCTCTGACCAGTGGCGGCGCCACGAATTTTCGCCAGTGGGGGCAAGCTTGAGACTGACCCGACTGTTGTCTGATAACGCCGATCTGCAAAATCCATTAGCACCTTGTCCCTAGATGTTGTCATTCAAAATTATTTTGGTTTCAGGTTTCATGCATAGGCGTATTGAGTTTAACCATTAAAGGGACCCTCCCACCTTCAAAAAAGTTTATGAATTGGCATGAAAGTGATGTCGCTCGATTCAGAAAGAGCGAAAACGAATATCTACCAAATTTCATCGAAAAATATTCACCGGTTTTCAAGATATTAGACTTTTACTTTTGTTTACTTTTTGGGATCTCCGCTGTTCCTAGCGACTTTATTTAAAAGTGCGGCATTTGTTGCGCGCAACGCAGCATATACCACCGCGTGCTACAAAACGTTTTAGTCAAACATTTAAAAATCGTTAGATATCGGCGCTGACGTCACACATTCAGAGGGGTATTCCTATGCATTAGCCCCTCTGAATCAAAATGCTGCAATTTTGAAATTCAATATTTCCGATTTAAGGCATTTCTCGATGTTGTGAGTGCCGAAACCGGTAATTGTGAGCCAGGGACCCCATTTTGGCTATCTCAACTCAAATCTAATGTTAAGGTGGGAGGGTCCCTTTAACCCTCGCGGGCCCGGAAGGGGGGCGTTTTTCGCCTCCCCCTGGCGAATATTTGCGATACCTCACGAACGCTTAGGGATAGAAAGACGAAACTTGCTGTACCTTATCCCCCATTAATTTGACATCTTTTAAAGCAAAAAATTTGGACCTAACCTCCTTGATAACGTCTCAGGGCCGATTTTTCTAGACTCCTGCACGGCAAACTTCGGCGTCACAGACGTGAACTTCAACCAGCTGCCAAAAATTGAGTTTTAGAGATAAAGACAAATTACGAACACGGTTGTGTAGCATTTAACCCGGCAGTTGCTGGGGTATTTCGCCACCCACCGTTTGCTGGGGGGGGGGGGGGGGGGCGTTAAACGCCCCCAGCCGATAACTCGAGAACCAATAGGCGCAGCGAAACGCACGAGGCGGCAAACGAAAGAGCGCGACGAGACGCTTCAGATGAGTACTTTAAAGTTGAGTTTTGAGGTCACAGGTCGGGTCAAGGTCAGGTCAACCACCTGAAATCGGCCTTTCAGTAGCATGGACTTCAGGACTTCGCAATGGGCGCCTCTCGTCATAAAATCTGTCAAAAAGGTGCACAATCCATCGTATAAGACCTACAAGAGTGTCAGCTCCATGTAGGGGTCAGTCAAGCATAGGTCAGGGTCAAGGTCAGGTCAACCGGGTAGGCACATATCCCCGAAAATCAAAACTGATATTCGCAGCCCGTGACACATGTTTTATGGGTAATTTGGGGCGTAGAACACGATGGTGACATTCATTTTATCATATGTGTACGTGTTTGGCTAAAAAAGTTTAATTTAAGAAATGCATGTATCATAGTCGTGAAGTAGTCACGAGAAATTGTCAAGATTCAGTTCAAGATTTTGGAAAATGCGGAACGATAATCAATAATCGAAGATAGCCATTTGATTGTTCATGGTATTGGCAGTCTAATGGCGTTTACGGCATGTCTGTATGTCTATTCTGTGATTTTATATGATTTTTTGAACATACGCCGTTTTCGGTTGAAAATTCAAAAATCATGACGTCACTAAAACCTCGATATCTCAAAAATTTTCCGACCGATTTTTTTGAAACTTTGTCACAATAAACTTCAATCAATTCCCTACAGGTACCCAAAATTTGGCGCGCCTGCGGCGCGCCGTTTTTATGCTATGGCCCGGCGAAAAAAGTGGGGGCGTTTAACGCCCCCCCCCCAGCAACTCGCGGGTTAACTTAGAAAAAAACTTAAGTGACTTTGGTGACCTGAGGTCGGAGGTCAGGGCAACGACCCCGAGCTGGGGCTTTAGTTTCTTTTTTCGCAAATAACTTCAACAAAAATGGTCCTGGAGCTACGGCAGTGGTACCTTCGCATTAGTCTTGTCGAGACGCGTCGAATGACATATATATTGTTTGGAAAAGGTCAAGTTTTATGTTGACCTCATGTGACCTCGAATGACATTTGGTTGATTTTTTACACATGGAAGGTCATTTGTGATGATTTCGTAGCCGCTGATCACGATTCTGGGCCTCTGGCATCCATTTTGCTGTAAGCATTCATTTAGAGCCTCAGTATGGCAAAACATGTCTTAATTATCATGCCTGACTTGAATAGTGAAATAGCATCTAGCAAGGATACTATCTTGTGACTTTGACCTTGTAGCAGCCTTGTATCGTAAGCTAAAGCACAAATAGGGGTCCGCTAAGCTTGAAAACATATCAAAACATCTCGGAATTTAGTATACAAGATATAAGAAAAAGTGCAAAGTTTGTGGTCAATTTTGAGCATGATCGTGACCTTGAATTTGAATGTTATGCACATCATCGGAATCCACGGATTCTTTTCTTTTGTTCAACATCCCTTTTAGCCGATTTTATGCACCATGCCGTCCTCTGGAACACGTACTTTGAGACCACTACATAAATGCCGGTTTTTGCCTTTGGCCTTGAATTCTGACCTTGAAAACTGACCTGAGGTCAATAAGTTTAGGTGCTTTAAAATCTTCTCATAGATATTTTTCGTTTGGTACCATTTTTGTTTCCGTAGCTGCCTTATTAACGGAGTTAAACAGGGGGGAGGGCTACCCCGGGCTGCGGTGGTTAGGATTACCCCCGGGCCCGGCCGAAATAAAACTATAAAACTAGATTGCGAGACACAAACCTGTGAAAACGTTATGTTGTTCGTTGAGATGTAAAATGGTGTGTTCCTCAAAACTATAGTCAGTATCTATTTCTCCTTTTCCCAGTAGTACGTATATATGTGCGATTCTCTCACATACGATTGATATAGGTACGAGAATAAGCTCCATTAGGGCGACCCACATACAATTCCAGATAACCCGGGATATACATACCTATCACATTTTGTCATACCTCTCTGATCTCAGTCTCAGTCTAAGGGTTCCCAAAAGAGGGTGATCTCTTCTCTGACCGACTTTTGATAAACTGCTTCTCAACCTCCTCGAGATCAAGCTCGAGGGCAGCCTTTTGGTGAATGAAAATGAGTAGGAGAATGAGTGGGAGTAGGAGATATGCGACAGACGGTCCGAGAACGAACGTTCTGCTGACGCACTTGATACGAGGACCGTCAAAAACAGGCGTACTATTATAACCGCCTATAATGAATGTTGCACCGTTCTTCTGTTCCCATACATCAGCCAAATATTGTGGGGGCAAAAACATAGTCTTGCCCCCACGGCCTCCTGCCAGTGGGGGCAGTCTGCCCCCACTGCCCCCACGGTGGCGCCGCCCTTGCCTCTGACCTGTACCGCAGTGTTCGGTGACGTGCGGCTGGGGTCAGCGGACCCGCGAGGTCACCTGCCACCCGGCCGAGGGCCTGTGTTCGGACGCGGACCGGCCGCGCGACACCCAGCAGTGCCGCCGGAGGATGTGTCGCAGCGGCTCGGCTGAGGACACCGACACCGGTACTGACTCTGACGACTCGGAGTCGGAGTCGGAGTCGGAGTCGCTGACCGACTCGTGGATGGTTAGCGAGTGGAGCGAACAGGTCAGTGGACGACTGAGGTGGCTGGTGGACGGGGATAATAGAGCACAATAGGGAGCTGCCCTTATCGCATGACTGCAAAGTTCGAAGGGTTTCCACCTCAAAAGACTGGAAAATACAGTTGGTATGTTTTTTAATATGAAGCTTGAACAAGGTCTGAGAAACTACCAAGCCCGTCGTGCTGAGTTGTCCGAGCTGATCCTGTATGACCTCTCTTAGATCGTCCGTCTGACAACTGACTCCCTTCCCCCCCCCCCCCCCCCCAGTGCTCTGTGGAGTGCGGCCAGGGCGTCCAGTGGCGCCAGGTGGTCTGCTCCGGATCCTGTGAGAACCAGCGCCGGCCCGAGGACACCCGGCCCTGCAAGACGGACAGAGGCTGCGCGGGAGTCTGGTTCACAGGACCATGGAGTAGGGTGAGTCGGCGAGAGGTGGTGGTACTAACTGATTTGGAGCATGGGACAGATGAGGTCACCGGTTGATAGTGCTAGCTGTTTGTCCTTTTGCCGTCAGACACGTGTTATTTATTTATCTCAAGACGTTTTATCCTCACTTTGAAGAAGCATTTTGATGCAGCTGCCCGGTCTTTATACGGAACTCTTATTGATGACCGTACAGACTTCTAATCCGTTCCCTTGCTCGTCCCACAGTGTTCTCACGCCTGCGGCGCGGGCGCCCAGACCCGCCCCGTGACCTGTGTGCGGCTGGACGCCGGCCGGGCCGCCGTCGTGTCCGAGTCGGCGTGCTCGGCGCCGCGGCCGGCTGAGCGGCAGCCGTGTTCTGGCGGGGCGTGCGCGGCCCGCTGGCACGGCTCCGACTGGGGGGTGTGTTCAGCGAGCTGCGGCGCCGGCCGCCAGAGCCGGGCCGTGGCCTGTCTGACGGCGGCGGGAGCGGCGGCCCAGAGCTGCCCGGCCGACGGACGGCCGCAGGACAGCCGGGCCTGCCTGCTGGCAGACTGTCCCAGGAGAGGTACGTACAGGGGACGGGGGGTACAGTAGGGTACAGGACAGGGGTACAGGACAGCCGGGCCTGCCTGCTGGCAGACTGTCCCAGGAGAGGTACGTGTGGGCGAGTATTGGCGCAGGGAGGTACAGGAATTTGTACGGATGATCAGGGAAAGTAGAACTGGGTAGTTAAGGCTTGTAGAGGTAGGTAGGGGTGACTTCTGTTTACTGCTTACAGATTCCTGATTTACGCATCTGCTTTTGTGATTGTTCAACTGCACACATTTTGCATAAATAGCTTCAGCATCTTTTGCAACTGAGCACACGCTTATTCGTTGTCAGGCCTAAGCACAAGCCCTCGGCTTATGTCTGTCTCGCTGCGCCATGTATGTGTGTGCCGTTCGCCACGACTGTCTGCTTTTCGCCACGGATGTCCGCGTGTCCGCCCTGCTTTGTGTACCGTCCGCACCGCTTTCCGCGTGTCTCTCGGGCCGCGCTAGCCGCCGGCTTCAGAGGCTGACCGCACCGCTTCTCTGTTCCCCTGCAGCGCTGTTCGACTGGGCCTCTCCAAACGGCACCAGCACCGCCGCCCAGCCGGCCGACTCCGGCAGCCCAGCGCCGCCCGGCGCCAGCGGCGCACACTCGTCATTGGCCGCGCCGCCGGTAGATGGCAGTGATCGCGCCGGCGGCTCGCTGGAGCCGTTCCGGGCCAGTCCCACGGAGACGTATGACGCCGTGGTCAATACCATAGTGAACGACCCTCCGTCAGAGAGGGATAACTCTCTGGAGCCGACCGGGGAGCCGTGGGAGGGCGCGGCGCCCCCTCTGACCCCCGCCCCCGCCCCCGCCACAGAGGCGGCCGCCTCGGCGGCGCCGGCGGCCGTGGAGCGGCCGGCTCAGCACCGCGCCGGTCACCGCGGCCGGCCGCGGAAACACCACAAACACAGACAGAGGCCGGCCGGCGACCAGCAGCACAGTGACCAGAGCAACAGCCTCGCGGCCGGTGAGACAGGACCGGGCGAAACTTAGGGCTGGGAAAGGGCGTGACTTTGCTTGGTCATCATTTATGGTATGGGAAAAGGCAACAATATGCCTTGGTCACCTTTGGCTTTCCTTGCATAATAAGCTCTTCTCGTTTGCGATGGACCATTGTTCGCTTGAGCCTGTGACGTTTGTGACCGATGAGAGCGTTGCTCAGTGCCGCCATTGAAGGCGTTCTGTTGCCGTGCCAGCGCAAGTCGGGTCCCAGGTCCCTCCCTGTATCTGACGCCCCGTGTATTTCTCCCCGCAGACTGCGTGGACCGATTCAACAACTGCCGGCTGGTGCAGCAGGCGCGGCTCTGCAGATATAAATACTACAAGACGCACTGCTGTGAGACCTGCAGTCGCGTCTGAGCCGGGCCAACCGGCTGAGGTATCACACAACACAGCACTGCCATCTGGCGGCGCGCCGACACTGCCACCTAGTGAGCCAGCGGCGAACCGGCAGTGAGCGGCCGGCCCAGTAGAGGACTCTGTATGAGAGCCAGGCCGGGCCGGTACGTGAGGCGCAGTGATCGCCGAAGGTGGGACGCCCTGTTTCAGTCAGGGGCGGACCCCACCCACTAGTGCAGAGTCACAGGGAGATCGACCCTGTGCAGGGTTCCAGCGAGATGGACCCTGTCAGACGGACACATGAGCTTCCCCGGAGGCGGCCCCAGTCCGGCGGACCCCGCGGGCGGCCTGTCCCGCCAGCAGCGTGTATTGGCGGCAGCCGGCCTGCAGCAGCGCCGGCCGGCCGCCCGACTCAGCTTCCAGTGACGCTTTTAACACAGTACTGTATTTAAGCGCGCGCGTCACGACTCGTGCCGGTCTAGGTCATTGCCGTAGTGGTGAGCGCCGCGCGGCGGCCCGACGGGCGGTAGGCGGCGAGCGGGGGCGTCTGAGCCCCCCTCTGTGTGTGTCTCGGGCCGCGAGCGGGCCCCGGGACGGCTCTCGAATGTTCGCTTCCACGCACTCATCGTCGGTAATATATATGATCATCGCTGTCGAGTGGCGGGCGTGTAAACGTGATAGTGTCTGTGGAAATGTGGCACAACAGGAGGCTTATTAGTGTGCACGCTGTCTTACTCGCCATGTCTTTTACAGGACGGAGTGCCTGACTGTTACACCCGTGGTTCCTTAGGTCGGCTTCATCGGGGATTTGAACTCTGGTCTGCTGAGCCGAAGGCAGGGATCCCGCTCCTGCGCCAGGACGCCCCAGTACACAATTGGACATGTTCTTCAGCCATGTAAGTTTCACAGCTTGCCGCCAGCAAGTCAATTATATTGATCTCTGGGAGACGTTGGACATCCCTCAGTTGACCGTATGCAATGTTAGAGAGCGGGCGTTCACACCACTCTCCACAACACATCGGGACGGACCCAACACAGCCCGACCGGGCGTAACAACACAACAAACGCAACAACTGAGGCGGCCCGCCGCCACAACAACACGTCAGGACCCGGGGTACACCCTGCCTAGGGAGAGGTGCGATACACAGACGGGATGGGACTGACTGGGTGGACGCGGCGGGGAGCAGATTGAGACGGTGTGTAGGGAACGGCGACTATAGGGTGCTTCCAAGGGTTAGCGAACATTGATTACGCCAAAGTGAGATTTACCATTCATTCATTGAGAGTTGTGTAACGCACGGCCGACAACGTGTTAAACTCTGATAGTCATAACAAATAACACTACAAGTCCAGTAACTGTCCAGTGCGAGGCATAGTTAGGTTCAATGGCAGTGTTACTATCTACATGGCATGACCAGCATGCGTCACTGAAAATATAGTTATATCATTAACAGTCCAACATAAACATCATATTTTGTCAACACATACAATTATAGTCCACACTGTTAAACACTTGCATACAGATGCCGCTTCGTGTGCTAAGGCGCATGAGTCTAACCCGCCCACTAAGGTGAGAGCATTAATTTGCTACCGATGTGATATTACAGATGTTTTGGAATGCTCCGATCGCATATTATACGTGGGAAAGCACTTGGTGTTCGTCCTGCGGAGCTGGCAGGGGGCCATGACCCCGTGACCTGGTGACCGGTCACGTGACCCGGTGACCGGTCACTCCATGGCTCGGCGAATGGTGTCACAGGCACACACAGCACAGCACACAGTCACACTGGTAGCACACAATGAGATGGTGGCGCACATAGGTAACACAGAGGACCCATAGTGGCACAAAAGACCCTCAGAGGACCCATAGTGGCACACAGGACCTACAGAAGACCCACAATGGCACATAAAGGAAACCCCGAGGACCCTTAGTGCCACCCAGGAAACCCAGAGGACCCATAGTGGCACACAGGACCCCCAGTGGTGGCACACAATACTCAAAGAGGCCCCCGTGTGACACGCAGAATCCCCTGAGGGTCCTCTGTGTCACGCTCCTGCATGACACAGAGGACCCATAGTGACACACAGGACTCTCAGAGGGCCCACAGTGGCACGCAGAATCCTCAGAAGACCCATAGCGGCAGACAGGACCCTCATGTGACCCACAGTGGCACACAAGATCCTCAGAGGACCCATTGTGGTACACAGGATCCTCATGACACAGGATCCTCAGAGGACCCAAAGTGGCACACAGGACCCTCAGAGGGCCCACAATGGCACGCACAGGACCCTTCAGAGGACCCATAGCGGCACACAGTACCCTCATGTGACCCATAATGGCACGCAGGATCCATAAAAGACCAATAGTGGCACACAGAAACCCAAGGGGCTCACAATGGCACACGCAGGACCCTCGAAGGGCCCATAGTGACAAACATGACCCTCAGAGGATCCATAGTGTCACACAGGGCCCTCAGAAGACACATTGCGGCACAAAGGACCCCCAGAGAACTCATAGTGGAACACAGGAACCCAGAAGGCCCATAGTGGCCCACAGGACCCTCAAGAGGACCCATAGTGGCACACAGGGCCCTCAGAGGACCCATAGTGGCACACAGGACCATCAGAGGGCCATTATGTCACACACAGGGGCCTCAGAGGACCCAGGACGGATAGGAAGCTCTGGGTTATGGCTGTTAAAACAGGAGAGACGGAGAGCAGTGTCACCGACACCGGATCGTCAAATCTACGATGCCAAAAACACTATATAGCAATGCCGTTACATGATAAAATTTGGCGCAGAGCAGCTCCTGAATCTCTGTGCAGTTAGTTATTGGTAGACCCGCGTAGATTCGTCTCCTGAGCTCTGTGACGCTGCCCCCAAGCAGTGTCTGTACACATCAAAACAAACTGCCAGAACTCCGATTACCCTCCCCCCCCCCCCAATCCTCCGTCGTAAAGACCCCATCAGACGGCGGGCTCTACTGCTGCAGTGACGTCGTCGCTTCATCAGCGCAGTGACGTCACGGTGCTGGAGGTGACGTCATCCGTGTCGTCATCGGACTCGGTCATGTCTGAGTTTGTGGCGGAGCTGAGCGCGAACTCTCGCTCAAACTCATCCTGCGGCCGCCACCTGCCGGTCACACGAACACGGAGAGACACGGGGTCATATGGGGCGGGGAAGAGGCGAGAGGTGGGGGGGGGGGTGTTGGGGAAAACAGCAAGGAAAACAATCATCGAATATTCGAGAGTGAAATGTTCTATTATTTTTACATTAGATAAACCTGGGTAAATTTGAAGCGACTGCAGTGACCGGGACAGCAATCTTTTAGTGAGACTTGGCATACGTTTACGAGTTTAGCCGGGGACAAGAGACAGGCAGCGTTACAGCCGTGCAAGTTATAAGCGCAAAAGATCCACACAAAACAGTTACAAAGCGTGCAACAAAGGTGTTGGCGGTGGGTAAAGAACGGCATTGCGGTGTGGTGATAAATAATAATAAATAGACTCATCGTGTAATTTAGCTCTTAACCCTCGCCCCGTTGGGGGGGGGGCCATTTTGGCCCCCCCCTGTGGTTTTTCCTGAATAGCAAGAAAACGGCGGCGCGCAGCGCCGCCAAATTTTCAGTACCTTCCCGGGCATCAATTTGACACCTTCACACCAAATTTCAAGTCTTAGGTCACCTTAGGTCAGGAGTTATTGAGGTCAAACTGAGGTCATGTTCGAGCAAAAATGAGCAAAAAACATGCAATCTTGAAACGCTCACCAAATCTACAGTTATCAAGCAATTTCAAAGTTCTTTATATGGTCTAGTACACAAAAGGCGGCGCTACAAAACTGCTATCTCGGATTTTCAAAATTTTTGGTTTTTGACCCAAAAAAAATCAAAAAATTGATTTTTTTTGAAAAACTTTGAAAAAATCCAAAATTTTTCCGAATTTCGAAAAAACCGGAATATATGTGATAGTCCCAGCGCTCTTCTATATACATACCAAATTTCAGATCGATATCTCGTTTTTTGGCCAAGTTATAGCGAAAAAACTGTTCAAAAATGATGACGTCAAATTTTTGAACTCAATTTTTAGCAATTCTAGACATCGTACGGCAAAACAAAGACCACCATTGAACTCCCCGTGACGAGCTGCATCGATTCGATACCCGTTTTATGCAAAAATATTAACTTTGAAATTTGACCTAATTTGACCTGACCTTGACCTGACCTTGACCTGACCTACACCAAAACGTGACATAAGCTGGCCCCAAAGGCTGCCTGACCCACATAATCGCATTTGTCATGTAAAATGGACCATAAAACATGTATCACACGACACTTTCATATTGTGACCCCCCCGTGACCTGACCTCTGTGACCTGACCTGGTATCAGTGACCTCAAATAGCAAAATATGTGTTTGAAGAACATTTTCCCATCGATGATTTTCAATGAAATGCATTTTACTCGATTTTACAACGCATTTCTTGAAGTGCCTGTAAACGGTGAAAATTGGACCTTTGACCTGACCTGTGACGTCATCGGTTTGACCTAGGTCAATAAAATTGGGTCACAAGGTAGTTCCCCGTTAGGGCTATCCAACGCCGTTTACCGCTTGTCGCTATGTTGCGTGGTTCTCGAGATCTTAGGGGGGGGCCAAAATGGCCCCCCCCCCCCCAACCGGGCGCGTTGCTCGGCAGAGCCCAACGGGGCGCGGGTTAAAAAGGTTGATTAAACCAGGTTAATTTGATGTGAAAAGTGTGTCGCATCCGACGAAAGTTAACGCCAGCAAATAAAAACTTAATGTTTAGCTTATCAACAGGTTAAAAAATGCACGAAAACGAAAGTGAAAACTGGAACACTGGAGCGTAGCCGGCACTGTTACGTCCAGTAGGTCCGCCCCGGTGTCTGGTGGCCGGCTCATCTATGGTCCGCCCCTCTACCCCTCCCCCACCCAGTACCCCTCCCTATGCCGCCTGAGTGACCGACCAGTAGGCGGCGCGCGCGCGCTCCAGGCTGGCCAGGTCGCCGGGCACGGAGATCAGGTGGAGCGCCACGGCCAGTCGGGCGCCCGTCTCCTCCAGCTGCTGGGTGGACAGGTGGGAGCCCTGGCGCGCCCAGCCGCGGCAGAGGGGTCAGACAGGCTCCGGGAGTTTCGTCGGGGGATTAGAATCAGACAGACGGGAGGGTAGGACGAGCGAGGAGAAGAAAAGGAAATGGAGGGATTGAGAAAATATATAGAATACGGGGTTCGCCCAGCCGAGGCGGAGCGGTGACGGACACATGAACGAGACATGCGTTAGTCGTTACATACAGAGGGTGGTTCAGTTCTGCGGCAGGGAGACAGCCGGGGCACAGTCGACAGATTACAAAGGTGGCGGTATCGGCGCGGCTATAGACGCATGGTGACACGTTTAGGGTGCGTACGGTGAATATTCGCCGTTTACGTATGAAGTTATAACCACTAGCGTTAATAAAGGTTCCAGAGCGAGTTACCACAACTCAAAGCAAAGGTCGCCACTTTCGTATCTTCCAAGGCGCACTCCAATAATCATCAAATGCAACGACCAGTTGTCAACAACGTACACCAGACCAGGCCAGACCAGACCAGGAGTACCCTGCCAGGCCGCCCCCTCCCCGGCCCCGTTCCCGCCATCTCCCCCGGCGCCGGTACCTGGTAGGGTCCCTGATCGCAGCCGCAGTAGCTGCTCTCCAGTGTGTAGCTGCGCTGCACGCCCAGCTCCCTCCAGACCACCACCCGGGCCGTGGTCTCGCGGGAGCGCTCCACCGACAGATGGCAGCACCGCAGACTGAACGCCGGCGCCACACGGTACAGCGCCTGCACGACACACGGATACAGACTGAACGGATGTACAATACACAGATACACGCTGAACACCAGCGCCACTCGGTACAGCGCCTGTACGACACACGGATAATTACTAGCCTGTCGCACATACGATTTGTCCCCCGCCATACACACGAGCGCCACGCAATCAGGAAAACATACCCCTGTCGCAGTTATTAATAACTGGAAACCAGCAGCCGGCCGTAAGAGACGTGGCTCAGGTTCCACTCGTCATCAGCACAGGCAAATGATGCAAACCATTCGATATGTACCCGCTCAGGCCGCGCCTGGCGACGAAGAAGTCAATGATCGACTCGCTCTTGTCTTACCTGAGGCAGACAGGCGGCCCGCTGTCTCACCTGAGGCAGGCAGCTGACCAGTGGCTCTTTGTCTCACCTGAGGCAGGCAGACGGCTCTTTGTCTCAACTGCGGAAGGCAGACGGCTCTTTGTCTCAACTGCGGAAGGCAGCTGACCAGTGGCTCTTTGTCTCACCTGAGGCAGGCAGGCGGCTCTTTACCTCACCTGGGGTAGGCAGTCGCGTCATTGTCTTGCCTAAGGAACACAGGCGGCTCGTTGTCTCACCTGCGGCAGGCAGCTGACCAGCGGCTCGTTGTCTCACCTGCGGCAGACAGCTGACCAGCGGCTCGTTGTCAGCCGTCTCACGGTCGGTGGCCAGCCAGGAGCGCCGGGTGCTGCAGCCGTACAGGAAGATGTTCTTACGGCACGAGTGTCCGTGGTAGTCGCAGAACAGGTAGGGCGGGCCGTTTCAGCACGAACGTCGAGTACTCCAGCATCGCCTGGACGGACAGTGGCGGCGGGACGGCTTTGAGAATGCCGCATTTTCGGAAAGACTGAACGTGAACGACCGTATTGAGAACAATTTAGCATGTAAAAATAATGCATCGGATAACACTCTGAACCCTCGCCGCATTGCAAGAGGTTCTTGGAGAAAAACGGAGCTGCATTATGCTATCGCACTGAGAAGGCAGGGAGGGGTGGGATCACTCTATCGCGACCGGCGCTCCCACTGGGAACTGACCGCACTGAGTCTCCCCCAGACCTACTGACCTTGGTGCGGTATACGACAGGGTGTAGGGGAGTCGTTCTGTCCCCTGACTACACTGACCTTGGTGCGACATAACACACTGACCTTGGTCCGGTATATGACCGGGTGCAGGTGGGGGTCGGGCGTCTTCCAGCGCCGGTTCAGGTCCTCGTCCGTCAGACCGCACCGGTGACTGTCGGTATTACAGAAACATAGAGTGAGCCATTAGTCACCCCTCCTGTCACCTGATTACTTATCAAAACTGCACCTGTTCCTGAAGAATATCAATGATTCAGCAAGTTCAATGATTCACTCATCTCGGCGCTACCTGGAGCCGGACCTTATCCCCTTTATCCACAGACGGTAGATGCTCATCGCGGTAGCCGCCTCCCCACCTTCATCCCCTCTCATTCAGTCCTCATTCCTCCCACCCGGCATTCCCCCCCCCCTCACCTGTCCCCCCTCTCACTCACCATCCGTTGACGACTCCGGCCACGTTCAGCATGGGCACCAGTTTGAAGATGAACCGGTCGCGGAGCGCGGCCGCCTCTGGCGCGTCACTGAGCAGGAAGCGCAGCGTGCCCTCCAGCGACCACGAGGCGCCGCTCTCCCCCGGGTGGATCCGGGCAGTGAGGAACACCATCTCCTTCTGAGGGAAGAGTGGGGAAGGTCAGAAACACCATCTTCTTCTGAGAGGAGAGAGGGGGAGGGGTGGATCTGCGCAGTGAGGAACACCATCTGCTTCTGGGGGGAGAGGAGAGTGGGGAAGGTCAGAAACACTATCTCCTTCTGAGGGGCAGAGGTCAAAGGGGTAATCAGCGCTGTCAGAAACATCATCTCCTTCTGAAGGGGCAGAGGGGAGAGATGGTGGGATAAAGCGAGAGAGAGAGAGAGAGAGAGAGAGAGAGAGAGAGAGAGAGAGAGAGAGAGAGAGAGAGAGAGAGAGAGAGAGAAAGAGAGAGAGAGAGAGAGAGAGAGAGAGAGAGAGAGAGAGAGAGAGAGAGAGAGAGAGAGAGAGAGAGAGAGAGAGAGAGAGAGAGAGAGAGAGAGAGAGAGAGAGAGAGAGAGAGAGAGAGAGAGAGAGAGAGAGAGAGTGAGAAGAGGAGGTGGTCCAAAAACACCATCTCCTACGGGGAGAGAGAGGGAGAAGGTTAAGACGAGAGATTCAAGAAATAAAACGCGGAGACAATCAAATCAATAAGGCATGGAAGAATAGGCGGAATAATTAAGCAAAGTGATCCGTAGTATCGTTGAGCCCGTTCATTCTTTAGGCCAATCAGTGACTGTCTCAATGACTACAGAAGAAACGATATACCTACGTCATTACTACACATGTTGACGCTACAACAGGGCGCCCACTCTGGCTCCCTCAATTATCAGCGCACGTCTTCGTAGCGTCTCGAGCTGACCTTGTGCTGGGGTCCGTGGCCGGTGACGGTGACCAGAGACGCCGTGTTTCTGATTACTGACCTTGTGCTGGGGTCCGTGGCCGGTGACGGTGACCAGAGACGCCGTGTTTCTGAACTGACCTTGTGCTGGGGTCCGTGCCCTGTGACGGTGACCAGGGACGCCGTGTTTCTGATTACTGACCTTGTGCTGGGGTCCGTGCTCTGTGACGGTGACCAGGGACGCCGTGTTTCTGAGCTGACCTTGTGCTGGGGTCCGTGCCCTGTGACGGTGACCAGGGACGCCGTGTTTCTGATTACTGACCTTGTGCTGGGGTCCGTGCTCTGTGACGGTGACCAGGGACGCCGTGTTTCTGATTACTGACCTTGTGCTGGGGTCCGTGCCCTGTGACGGTGACCAGGGACGCCGTGTTTCTGAACTGACCTTGTGCTGGGGTCCGTGCTCTGTGACGGTGACCAGGGACGCCGTGTTTCTGATTACTGACCTTGTGCTGGGGTCCGTGCCCTGTGACGGTGACCAGGGACGCCGTGTTTCTGAACTGACCTTGTGCTGGGGTCCGTGGCCGGTGACGGTGATCAGGGGCGCCGTGTTTCTGAACTGACCTTGTGCTGGGGTCCGTGGCCGGTGACGGTGACCAGGGACGCCGTGTTCCCGTCCAGGTCCGCCGCCAGGGTCTCAGTACCCCACCAGATGTCCGGTGACACGGCGCAGCTCCCCAGCAGCTCCAGCACCGTCTGAGAGGGAGACGGAGGGACCGGTGTTACGCTACAGGAGTAACAGTTCCTACAGCGCCTGAGAACTCACTGACTCATGGCCGGACACAGGTGTTACATCCGAATGGTGTATCGAATAGCTCCAAGAAAACCAGGAACGCTTATCTCCAACAGATCGCCTGCGGCTGTAGCCTGCGCAACCGCAGGCGTAGGGTAGGGTAGGGTAGGGTAGGGTAGGGTAGGGTAGGGTAGGGTAGGGTAGGGTAGGGTAGTGTAGGGGTAGGGTAGGGTAGGGTAGGGTAGGGTAGGGTAGGGTAGGTAGGGTAGGGTAGGGTTGCATTGAGTAACATCCTAACTTACAAAGGGCTCGAAAAACTCGCATGCATCACCATCATACTTTACAGTTTTTTTCTATTTTTTTCTTTTTTTCTCTCTTTACAGTTCAATTAAAAGCAGTTACCCAATCTACACAAATAATACCAATAAAAATGCAAGTTTCTACACCCAAACTGGAGTGATTACGTTCACCGTTCCGTGCTTCTATCCTCAGGATACTGAAATCCTTTTCCTCCACGCCGCAACCCCCTCCGGGCTGGACAGGCACCTTTATCTCATGCGGGCTGCTCCCTTGGAGCGGCACCGCTGCTCCCGAAGAAGTGCACCCCGTAGCCGGGTGCAGTGAGTACCTTGGGGCTGGGTGGCCTGTCCTCTGGACGGGCTCGGCCCCGGTGACTCACTAGGGTGCCTGCCCAGACCAATGTCTCCCCCTATTTTCTGTCATCCTTCCGGCTCTGAAATGGTCTCGTCAGACCGAAAGGGCCTAACCCAACAAAACAAAAACAAAGAGATTACGTTACTACAACAGCAGAGTTGTGGCTATTCCGAGAGCGTTAGCCAGCACCTACCCTCATCCTGGTGTAGGTGTACCCCCTATTTTCTGTCATCCTTCCGGCTCTGAAATGGTCTCGTCAGACCGAAAGGGCCTAACCCAACAAAACAAAAACAAAGAGATTACGTTACTACAACAGCAGAGTTGTGGCTATTCCGAGAGCGTTAGCCAGCACCTACCCTCATCCTGGTGTAGGTGTACGGGTAGTGGTAGGCATCTATCTCACCCTCATCCTGGTGTAGGTGTACGGGTAGTGGAAGGCCATGTAGCAGACGTCGGCGTCGTGCGGGAACTTGACGCAGAACGAGGCCGTGCAGTACACACGGTTGTGCTTTCCCTGCTGCAAAACACAAGGAACGTAACATCAATACGGACACAGACCGTACCACCACTTATCACAGTGTTATCTTTAACCCGATCTCTACACAGTACCGCCGCGTTCCCTTCCCTAACTGACTTGTTTTCGACTGCCCGGGTGTCGGGCCTGCCCAGTGCCCACGGTACGCACAGTACTCCCCCTCCCCTACCTCTCCTGCTTTCGACTGCCCGGGAGTCGGGCCTGCCCAGTGCCCACGGTACGCACAGTACCCCCCCCCCCCCCTCTCCCCCAATGCACCTGTTTGCGGCTGTCCGGGTGCGGGGCCTGTCCGCGGTATCCCCTCCCCCTAACGCACCTGTTTTCGACTCCCCGGGTGTCGCGCCTGTCTGCGGTAAGCGTTCCGGTAGTAGAAGACGTCCATCCCGACCCTGGTCCAGTGCGGTCGGCCGCGCAGAGACTCCTTCACAGAGAACAACACCGGGCGCATCCCTGCCGTCGGGCAGAGAGGGGGTTTGTGACAGCGAGTGGAGGAGCGGGAGAACTGTGAGTGGAAATTAACAGTCGTCACAGCCTCATATGGAAGGCGCTATGAGTATTTTGAGTAATCAAAGTCAAGTTGGCATTCCATGTTTAGGGAGGAATGAGAGCTGGGTTGCACTCACCCCGTCGGCCCCTTGGTCAAGACGAACGAAGGAAATCGACGGGTCTGGCGAGGGTGAAGCCCCCCCCCCCCTCCCCGAAGCCGTCACCGCCGTCGCTGACGGTCGTCGTCTGGCGCTGCTGGTACCGCACCTGTCTGGTACTCGCAGCGCAGCTTCTCGTTGTTGATGACGTTGAATGTGTAGGTCAGGTCGGCGCGCATGTTGGACACCTCAAAGTAGAACCACTGCTGGTGTCGACTGGAGCTGACGTCCGGACACAGGATCAGGTCGTACTCGTGGGGACCCGTCTGCGGAGAGTAAAAATGAACACCCATACCCTCAATATGTAAAGAACAACAAGCAACACGATCGTAAAGGTCTGCCGAAAGAAGAGAACTAACTAAAAGACTTGACTAGAGAACGATAAACCGAATGTATGACTTACATTTGGTGCAGAAAAAATCGTAGTGAGGGCACCTAGCAGAAAAGATAAAACAAGAAATAGTGACTGGTTTAGGAAGCTAGCTGTGACTGCCTGTTCGTGTCGCAATCGCAAACCTACCCGTATGCTCCTACGCAGGTTTCCGGACTCGAAGCGGGACTCGAAGCGCAGGCTGGACTCCTGGTTGATCTCGATCAGGGTCGATGACACCGTCTTTTCGTCGTGGTTGTCCAGAACCCTGGAAAGATAGCGTTCGAACATATTAAGAACAGAAGTCGAGTCGGTGAGGGGCGATAGAGCCGTACAAGAGTGAAGGTTAGAAGAATCATAGACGATTCAGTCAGCTGTCGCATTTATGTGTTACCGACCAGTGCTCAACCATTCACTTCATCCTCCTGAGGAAACGTGGAAAGACGACCAGTCCTCATCTCGAGGTGAGGCCGTTATCTTCTCTGAGGAAGGTTGACGGCCTCTTCTGAGAATGTCATCGTTCCCTCCGGACAGTCCTCCCGAGCCAGTGTTCTCACTTGAGACTTGATCTCATGGGATAAAGTTCTTCTCTGAGACTATTCTCGTTCTCACCTGAGACTGTTGTCCTCCCTGGAAAAGGTTCTCACCTGATGCTATTGTCCTCCCGGGAGAACGTGGACACGAGGAAGTCGTAGTCGTAGACCACCTTGGTGTCCAGACTGCGCTGGCCCAGCGCGTCGTCCACCAGACTCTGCACCTTTCGTCTGTTGTACAGACCGAGAAGGCACGGTCAGACGGGTACGGTGAGCGGGTGTATATCGGACATTTTTTTTTTTTTAATTTTTTTTAAACGTTTTCTCTGTATTTTCCATAGTCAAGTACATGTATAGGTATTATTTGTAGGTGTGTTCGATTTGCAAATATGATGCAAATGCATGAATAATAAAGTGATAGCTATACTTAAATAAGTTTGGCAGCGCATAACCGTAAACAATTGCAAATGGACGCCTTACGAAGCGACATTGCATCAAACGCTGACTGAGCTATTGCCTAATGACTAAAGCCGAACACTGAACGCGCAGCACATTGCGACACGGTCATTGCGGCACAGCATCCTATCAGGCGTATACAGCAGTGACATCTAGCGGCTGGGACATAGTGTGTCAGATACCGCGGGACAGACACGATAGGAGCCGAGACAGGATAGTGGAATGATGCAAGCTGGTAGGATCTGCTCCCTTTGGGCTCATTCTGATCCAAAACAGACCGACCATCGCAAATTTGGTGAGATGAAGTGAGATAAACCCCAATAGTCTATGAAAGAGCTCTCATAACTACGGCCATACATCGTAAAAAAGGAATGCCGCACTGAGTCATGCACGACAGCCCCCAAAATCACAAACAGACCGTCCCCGACAATTTCCCGGTAACTTCTCTCGCGAAGTCTCCCCCCCCCCCAATCCCTGCTATTCAGTTGAAATCAGCTCCGGTCACAAGCCCACGATACCTGCACACCATGCGGTCACAGGTCCCGAGCGGCTCGCTCTCCCCCGAGCTGGCGGCGCCCACCATATCCGGGTAGGCCAGCTTCACGAACGGCGCCACGTGCCGCGTCTTCTGCGCCAGACGCCTGCCGGGCGGCAGCGGGCAGGCTCGTTACGGCTGGGTAGCGGCAGCTCAGTGGTGCGCTGGGGGTGCATCGGTTGTCGTGTGGATTGAAAGTAATGGTGTACGATAAAGCCAATGGGATGAACGATATAAGAGGCACAGTTTTCTTCACGGTATGGTCTCGGTACACTGTACATAGTTTGCAAGCTGCTTCACTTTGGCATCAAAAGACGACTGAGCTTGCTATCTACGCATGTCATCGATTATACGCTCAATTTAGCGCCATTCGTCGGGTGTCTCATAGTCCCGCTATCTCAGTACTGCAGTACCTCCGTCCTGTACCGCAGCGGGCCCTCGGCCGTACCTGTACACCTCGGTGTACTGTCTGCGGGAGTCGCCCTGGCCGCCGCGCTCCGAGAGGCGCTGCCAGGCCTCCTGAAGCCGGCCGGGGGTCAGCCGGCCCTCGGCGGCCCCCAGCGCTGTCGGCGGCGGGGCGGCGCAGGGCCGCACCCCGGCCCGCTGCCGACACAGCCGGGTCAGGCAGCGCGGCAGGCACTGGCAGCCGGCGCCCTTCTCGGCCGGGGAGAGCGCCGGAGAGGCCTCCGAGGGGGGCGGCGCGCGCGGCGGGCTGCGCGGCGCCGCCGGCTCGGCCAGCTCGGCGAACAGCGGCGCGCAGCGGAGCAGCTCGGCGGCCGGCGCGCGCACCGGCTCCGGCAGGCAGGCCGGGTGGGCGCGCACCAGCGCCGCCGGCTGCTCCGTCTCCGTCTCCGTCTCCGTCTCCGTCTCCGTCTCTGATCCCGACTCGTCGTCCGACCCGCCGTCGGCGTCTGGGGGAGGGGGAGAGTGGTCAGTGGGAGAGGGGCGGGGCGGGGCGGCCTTCTGAGAACATGCGGCGCAATAGTAACGCACTGCCGTTACGTAACGCGCTGCGTCACCCACGCGCTATGAGTAATAGTACCGTGCCCACGGTTAGTGCCGCGCTCACGGCGCAATAATAATCAACGGGGACGGTCGACGTAAGGCCAGCGCAGTAGAGAGCCGGCCACTTACAAAAACTGCGCGCTTAGTACTGAACTGTAAACTGAAACCAATCAAAACTACGCATGTTCATTGTTCTGCGCTGGATGATACTGAGAAGTTGCGTAAGAAAAAAGAACGGGATAATTTCACTAAAATGTCTAATGACTATCCACTAAGAGGCGATAAACCCACGTAGAGTGTTGTCCTGTTCGGGCCACAGAGGAGCTATCCATCATACCTGCGAACAGAACTTCGATTCGGGCGCTGTACGTACAACGATTTCTGCCGACCTAACAGCAACGAAACACTACATTCAAGAGCATAAATCATACACTTATGTTGGTGTAGCTATAATGATTACCTGAGCCATAGATAGCATGAATCATGTTATATATGCCTAAGTTTTTGTAACTATAATCAAGCGCAAAAAAAAAACATAATAGCAAGGCTCCCATTTACATCATAGCGCAGGTATCAACAAACACCCCGAGTCCCTCTAAATAGGTCCCAACAGAAGCCCCCAGAAGCCCCATAGCCCCGTTCCCCCGGGGCGCGGTGCCGTACCTCCCTTGCCGTCTGCTGTGGCGCGCGCCGCCGCCGGAGCCGTGAAGCTGACCGGACTCTCCAGTCGCGCCACGGGCAGACTCCACTTGGCCACGCAGCGCAGCACGGTGTTGGCTGCGCGACAGAACAGCCGGTCGTGCCGCTCCGCCGGTGAACACGAACGGAGGAACGACTGCATCGCCTCGCAGACGCGGGCCTCCATCAGCGCCTCCCGGCCCGGCTCTGAGGGGAGAAGTCACCGGCGGGTCAGAGGAGTAGCCAACGGGTCAGAGGTTACCAACGGTCCAGAGGGGTCACAAATTGTTTAGAGGGCGTTATATGTAGATATTAGAAAGGCCACTGGCCACTGCACTGGTATACTTGTACCTATAAGAAGTCACTGATTTCGTTGCAGGTGAAATGTGAATCTCCAACGCTTTCGGATCTTCTGAACCCCCGTACCAGGACCTCAGCGATTTCAACGTTAAAGTCTAGGCGGGCGGAGGTCCTGGTACGGGGTTCAGAAGATCAGAAACGGTTGGAGATTCACATTTCACCGACAACGTGGATTCGGAAAGGTAGCCGGGCCGGGCGAGGACCAGTAAGAGAGCGGGGCGACGAGGAAGAAGGAACACGAAACACGGTCAATGGTTTGAAATAAAAATCAGTTTCCAGCATACGTAATGGCATTAGCCAAAACGAGCAATCCGTGGAAAGTTCCTGATCGTGAAGTGAGCAAACGGCAGTCAAGTTGAGCCACTAGGAATCCAGAAGCTCAGTATGTTTATACCGCGGAGCTCCAGGGGTATATCACAGCCTACAGAGGCCAGCTGAGTTCAGCGACCGCCAGCGGCCGAAATCAAACTTCAGCCTTTAGATATCAGCGGCAGGGAGGCCATATAGAAGCCCGCGAGCGTTCAAAGAGTGACACGAGTCCACTGTTTGTGATATTGCAGCGAGAAGCGTGACCTTGACAAGCACAGTAGGTACTCTGCAGTCCGCTCTGTTTATTGCCATGACTGCACTGTCCGCCCACCGCCATGCCACAAATATTCCACTATGCTGACAAGCGAGCACGAAGCGCGTAGCGAGACTATACTATGTAGCGAAATAGTCATTGCATGATCGGCTCGACTCGGTCTGAAATGCTTTTGAGACTTTTATCTTCGTCACCAGCTTTGGCAAACCTTCCCAATCTTAAGGCACTCAACGAGCGATACATTTCCATGAGTTCTGGTTGGAACTGCGCCAGGTCATGTGAACATCTCAAAAACGACTGAGCCGATTGCTCTAACTTTAGTACACCCGACACCGTTAGACACCGGTTAGGAAGGTGACCAGCACAATATTTTGGGTTTCACTTCGCACGTGCAAGTGACGTGCACTCGTGCGGTGTATTGTGTTCCTTTGCTTGTCACCCTTCAAGTCGCTTTACTGGAGACAAACACAGCATCATGACATCGTGTTTGCAAATGAAATCCCTCAAGTCCTGTCGTGCGTCGTATTTTTAACAAGAAAAAAAACACGGCCGTATACCGAATCGCATTACCTGCAAATGTTTGCACACGCGGCAAAACACGCACTAGTATATTACACATTGTCCTCAGTATGTAACAATGAATCAACGTTTGCGTTAAGCAATCAGCCGATATGAACCAAGTAGGTAAAGAAATTATCAAATCGCGATAGGGGCGGATCAGTGTTTTGATGGGGAGGTGCACACGGTACTAACGCCGCGCGGCACTAACCGTTGGCGCCCTCGCCGCCCAATGGATGCGCACGGTACTAACAGCGATACGAGTAAACCAACATCTCGGCCTTAGTGAACAGATTAGATCACAATAACAGAAAAGACAAAGAGCCGAGATAGGGGGCAGGACTTTGGTTGTCCTTCAACCCATCATCTACAGATATAGGCAAACATCAGGCAAAAAACTATTGACATGCCAAATTATTATGGAAAACAGGCGGATGGCAAGCCTATTAAAAATGCATTGGGCAATGGGTTCGTTGGGTTAGTTAGAGGCTAGAGCTCTCAACTGCACTATATACAGGACGAGTGCCACGAAAAGTCCGGAGAGGGCCGAAATCCCAAAAAAAGAGCAGGGAAAGTCAAGAACGGACTCGAAATGACGTGCGTGACCTAAGAGGCTGTAACCTGACCTTGAAATGAGGTCAACCCATTCAAAAAGTAGGTATATCATTCGACGCGCCTGATCATGGCAAACACGATGGTGCCGGAATTGCGGCTACGCGATTTCTTGGCAAAGTTCTTCAATCTTCACCTAAACCGAACCCCACGTTGGATCACTTAACCTGGCCTCAGAGGTCACGGACTGACCTGAGACCTTTAACCCGCGCCCCGTTGGGCTCTGCCGAGCAACGCGCCCCGTTGGGGGGGGGGGCATTTTGCCCCCCCCCCCCTAAGATCTCGAGAACCACGCAACCTAGCGACAAGCGGCAAACGGTGTTGGATAGCCCTATCAGGGAACTACCTTGTGACCCAATTTTATTGACCTAGGTCAAACCGATGACGTCACAGGTCAGGTCAAAGGTCCAATTTTCACCGTTTACAGGCATTTCAAGAAATGCGTTGTAAAATCGAGTAAAATGCATTTCATTGAAAATCATCGATGGGGAAATGTTCTTCAAACACATATTTTGCTATTTGAGGTCACTGATACCAGGTCAGGTCACAGAGGTCAGGTCACTGGGGGGTCACAATATGAAAGTGTCGTGTGATACATGTTTTATGGTCCATTTTACATGACAAATGCGATTATGTGGGTCAGGCAGCCTTTGGGGCCAGATTAGGTCACGTTTTGGTCAAGGTCAGGTCAAGGTCAGGTCAAGGTCAGGTCAAATTAGGTCAAATTTCAAAGTTTATATTTTTGCATAAAATGGGTATCGAATCGATGCAGCTCGTCACGGGGAGTTCAATGGTGGTCTTTGTTTTGCCGTACGTGGTCTAGAAGTGCTAAAAATTGAGTTCAAATATTTGACGTCATCATTTTTGAACAGTGTTTTCGCTATAACTTGGCCAAAAAACGAGATATCGATCTGAAATTTGGTATGTATATAGAAGAGCGCAGGGACTATCACATATATTCCGGTTTTTTCGAAATTCGGATTTTTTTTTGATTTTTTTAGTTTTTCTAAAAAAACAATTTTTTGAATTTTTGAGGGTCAAAAACCCAAAATTTTGAAAATCCGAGATAGCAGTTTTGTAGCGCCGCTTTTTGTCTACCAGACCATATAAAGAACTTTGAAATTGCTTGATAACTGTAGATTTGGTGAGCGTTTCAAGATTGCATGTTTTTTGCTCATTTTTGCTCGAACATGACCTCAGTTTGACCTCAATAACTCCTGACCTAAGGTGACCTAAGACTTGAAATTTGGTGTGAAGGTGTCAAATTGATGCCCGGGAAGGTACTGAAAATTTGGCGGCGCTGCGCGCCGCCGTTTTCTTGCTATTCAGGAAAAACCACAGGGGGGGGCCAAAATGCCCCCCAACGGGTCGAGGGTTAAAGTAAAGAGAGTACCAGTCGCTGTGTCTAGTTACAGTACAAATACTCCTTTCCGCGAAGCTCTAGCTCAGTTAGGGGAGAAACGGCATGGGGTGTTCCACCAGCGCCCCCCCCCCTCCACTTGGCCGGGGCGTAAAACGTATAGGTAAAACTGATGGGACTAGCGAGGGTTAAAATGTTACACATTGTGTCAAAAGTATCATGCTCTTCCCCTTTTCAGAGCAGACTAGGCTACGTTCGTTCAAAAATATAGATATCACACCAAAATACTCTCGGAGGTATCTTATCCCTAATAATGCCAAAGTTCGTCTACAAAAAGAGCTTCAAACGGTTCTTAGAGCGACCCGCCATTGACAGTTCACGAAGTGTGCACCATAAACAGTTAGAAGAGCTGCTGCACCGCGCTGACAGCCGTGGCCTGCGTCAAACACAAACCGGGCGAATTCCTGCAGAAATGACTCGGAGCAGAGCTCCAAACAGTGCACCCGGTACAAACACGGTACCACACGGTACACCGCCGTCTCGAACTGCCCACGGCACGGCGCCGCCGGCCTCCTGGACGGCTGCACCCGGCACTGCTGCGCGGCGCCGGTCAGGAGGTAGCGCACGGCACGGGGATCGATCAGCTGCGCCCGGTACCTTGACGTCGCCGTACCGCACCGCCCACTCCCTGCTGCACACGGTACAGAGAGTGGAGACGCACGCACACATCTGGCGTAATTGTTGTTGTGGAGGACGCCGACCGGCTTAATGGGACTCCATCAGACAAGGCGCGTAGAAATCGGACCAGCGGAGCGCCAGGGCCTAACTATCTGAACTCCATGAATATCAGTCAAATATAATGCGCAGTTACCGAACGTATAATGCGCAGTTGCAAGCTGAGAGTACCGAATAGACGTAATGTCAAGTGATCGGGGAATAAGTTGGCGGCCAAACCAATAACGAAGGGGCCACGGGGTAAAGAAGGAAACAACGGGATTTCATACCTTACCGCCCCGGGAAACGGTTTAACCCTCGCGGGCCCGGGAGGGGGGCGTCTTCGCCCCCCCCCCCCCCCCCCCTGGCGAATATTTGCGATAGCTCCCGAACGCTTAGGGATAGGAAAGCGAAAATTTCAGTACCTTTTCTCCAATCAATTTGACATCTTCTGAAGTAAAAAATTTAGACCTAGCCCCATTGATGACGTCACAGCGTCGATTTTTCTAGACCCCTGCACGGCAAACTTCGGCGTCACGTACGCGAGCTTCAAATACAGCTGTAGCTGCTAAAATGTAGCTGCTAAAAATTTTAGAGATAGAGATAGAGTTTTAGAGATAAAGACAAATTGCGAGCACCGTTGTGTAGCGTTTGACCTGGAGAAAAACAGAAAAATAGTTTGGCGACCTGAGGTCAGAGGTCAGGTCAACGACCCCAAGCTGTGGTTTTAGTTTTTCGCAATAACTTCGATAAAAATGGTCCTAGAGCTACGGCAGTGGTACCATCGCATTTGCCTTGTCAAACCGCGTCGAATGCTATATATTTTGTTAGGAAAAGGTCAAGTTTTATGTTGACCTCATGTGACCTCGAATGACCTTTGGTTGACCTTGACACATGAAAGGTCGTTTATGATGGATTCGTACCCGCTGATTACGAATCTGGCATCTATGTTCTTCTAAGCCTTCATTTAGAGCCTCCGGATGGCAAGATTGTCTTATTTATTATTACTAACTTGAATCA